ACCTTTTCTGTTTGATACCTCTCCAAAGCCTTTCTCATCCTACCTCAGATTTCCTCCCACATTTGAGAGGTCATAGAAGCATTAATGTTTATGCAGATTGGTAGTAGAAAGACATAGTCAGGGGCGTGGAAATGTGTTATAGAAGGTCATTAAACTTATTAAGCCAATATAATTGAAAATAAGTCCTCAGAATTCCCTGCAGATTCATGTTGGCTTTAAGAAAACAAACACCTCTGTTCCCAGGTAAAGCCAAGACTGGAAGCTCTGTGGTTTGTTCCTGGTCTGATTTAGCTCAGCTGCCTCCCTTCAGTTGGTCTCCAGACCAGAAGGTCCACCTGTTTTTGTTTCCACTTTTAGATTTTTCTACTGATTTTCTAAACTGCTTTTCCTAAGCCCCATTGCTATGTGCTGGTGCCATTTTCATTGAAGAAAGTTTGAAGCAACAAGCTACTGTTAAGGATGCTTCTCTCAGCACTCCCGGTCCTCTAGTGAGCTCTTGGGAACTCCTCCCAGGGGACAGACCAGTGGTGGTTGTCCATCCTTGAGCCAGTTGGTCTGGTCTTGGGGACCTTGCTCTGCAGTCATAGATGGAATTCCCTGCCTCACAGTAGCTACTGGAGAGCTTGCAGCTTGGCCCACCTCTGACAAATTACAGATGTCTTACCTGTTTTGTCTATTGCCTCCCTCATCTCTAGCTTTATTTTTCCTACTCTTATTTTCTCTTCACTATTTGTCCACTTCTTAAAAGCTCATCCACTATGTACACTGAGTGAACTGCTGCCTTATTCTTTTTTTTTCCTTTAGTTTTAATTCTTTATTGTTTAAAGTATTATATAAGTCTTCTCCCTCGCAATTGACTGCTCCCTGGCCACCACCCCCTCCCCCCCCACACACTCACACACAGCACATGCCTTCACCCTGGAATCCCCTGCCTTCTCTTTTTGAAAGAATCAGGTTTGCTGTACACAAGAACATCTTTGCATAGCTGACTCTTCATGACAACATTGTTCTCTTGCTGCTGGATTGATCTATTGGTCTTCCTACCTATTGACATTTTCTCCCTATCTGCTCTAAGACAAATTAAATCCATGTGCAATCCCCAAACCCGAGCTGTCATTAGACAGTATAAATCATACTCATTTCCTCAAACTCATATACATCAGTAAGTGTAATAGCTTCTTAGGGAAACAGAGGATTAAATGAATATTTGATTATTTGGAAACACAAATACTAGTACACTCACTCACTCACTCACACACACACACAGCTTTACTTGGTTAGCCCATAGCATTAGGGTAAGGTCTGGTGGCCTACGAAGTTAGTCTGTTCAAGCTGCTGTAATTACCGTAGATTGGGTGGCTTAAGCAACAAACATTGATTTCTCACAGTTCTGGAAACTGGCAAGTCCAAGATCAGGGTTAGATTGGTTGGATTCTGGTGAGACCCTCTTCCAGGTTGCAGAAGTTTTTTCACATGGTGGAAAGTTCTGTGGGGTCTCTTTTATAAGAGCTCTAACCCCACTCCTGAGGGCTTCACCCTCATGGCCCAAAGATCGCCCAAAGACCTCACCTCCAGCTTCCATCACATTGGGGATTAGGCTTCAACATAGATTGGGGAGGGACACACAGTCAGTTCATAGCACCTGTTTTTCTTTCTCTACAGTAAGTAGAATAGAGGGTCTGATCAGAACTGGATGCTTTCATTGCCCAGCCCCTGACATACCTCATTTTAAGAAAATGTCCTAATTGACACGTCTGCAGAATTAAAAATAGAAACAGGAGCCAGTGCAACTCTAACAACTGCCCAACAGGACTGTTCTTTTTCATAGCGTTCATACCTTCTTGTGTCACGTCTTAGAGGATGTGCTCAGAACAACCTTGCTCTCTTCTTTGGCTGCTGGGGATTCTGTCTAAGATCAGACACCATGCTGTGCTCATCTCTGAGTCTTGGTGTCCTCCAACCTGCACAGAGAGGCTTTAAAAGTGTTTACAGTCAGAGCCTGTACCCTGTAGGTGAGTGGCTGGGTGTTCTGTGCGTTCTTTAACAGCCGCTCTCCCTTTCTCCTCTGTCCACTCTCAGAAGTCGTCCCAGAACGTGAATAAACCACAGACGCTGGCTTAGAACCTCCGTCTCATGGTGGTGTTTTTTTTAAGTAACATTTTAAAAATTAAATGTTAATCTTGTTTCAAAAAGTTTATACTTCAGTTACTCAACTGTCTGTCTATATGGTATACTAGAGGCCTAGCATGCGATTGAAATTGCATGAAGAGGCATCCCACCTCTCACCTCCTCCCTCCTGCTGATTGGTCATTATGTCATGACCATTAGCATATTAGCTCTTTATTATTAGGATATAAAAGCCTAAGCAACCATTCAACTATAACGTGCATAACCACCAGGGAGCAGATGCTCCAACCTGTAGGTTAGCTTGCTGCTGGGGTCCAGCCTATAGGGACTGGGCGAGAAGGGCTGGACGTGCCCTGGAGACCTCCTATGGTCCCTCCCTGGCCCCGATCTTGCACTGGTGGGGTCCCTTGGCCTGACTTGCACCCTCTCGCAATCCGGGACCCCTCGGGGGTTGTCAGAGCTGCAGGCCAGGCCGAGGGACCCCACTGGTGCACGAATTCAGTACTTGCCATCCCTGTCTTTTTATAATAGCCATCCTGCCGGACGTGAGGTGTGAGGTGATAACTGTTTTTGGTGATTAGTGGTGAGCTTATTGGCCATTTGGATGTCTGCTTTGGAAAGATGTCTATTCAGTCCTTTGCCCGGTTTTTAATTGGATCATTTGGGGGGTTTTTTGGTGTTGAGTTGTCTGAGGTCTTTATTTTAGTTATTAATCTCTTAGTAGGGGTTAAGGTTTGCAAATATTTTCTCCCATTCTGTAGGTTGCCTGTTCAAGTTATTAATTGTTTTCTTTGCTATGCAGAAGCTTTTTATTTTATTTTTTTATTTTATTGATTTTGTACAGAGAGGAAGGGAGAGAGATACAGAGTTAGAAACATCGATGAGAGAGAGTCATCAATCAGCTGCCTCTTGCACACCCCCTACTGGGGATATGCCCGCAACCAAGGTACATGCCCTTGACCGGAATCGAACCCGGGACTCTTCAGTCCCCAAGCCGACGCTCTATCCATTGAGCCAAACCGGTCCCGGCTATGCAGAAGCTTTTTAGTTTGAGGAATTCCACGTGTTTATTTTAGCTTTTGTCGCGAAGAACCTCAGTTTTGTTCCAGTTGTGGGGAATATGGGAAATGAGAGAAAATCATTTCCCATGCTGCCATGGCATCGTAGGCTCTCCCTTCTCTCATCTCCTAACCCCTGATCTTTTTATCCCGTCTTTTCTAGAAGGATTGTGCTGGCTGCAAAGCATCTCCGATTCCCCCGCCTGCCTTAGAGTAGGGGTGTCGAACTCAATCAGAGAAGGGGCCAAAATCTAAAATCCAGCCTAAATCGCAGGCCGAATGGTTTACTGAACAGTCATAAACTGTCATTGTGATGGAAACGCAGCGGAGTGCAGTGATGACAGCGCGGTGCAGGCCACATTGCAAGGCCTGGCGGGACGGATTTGGCCCGCGGGCCTTGTGTTTGATACATGTGCCTTAGAGAGCCCTACTCCAGTTACTTTTCTATTTGGTTTATTTCTTTGAAAATCCCCAAGGTTATTGTTTTTGAGGTTAATTTAAGTAGGTTCCCAACAATCAAAGACCATTGATACAACTTAAAAATACTGAGTAGGAATCATGACTTACCATAAATGGTTCTTTTTGACAAGAAAAAATGACTTTCTAAAGGTCAAGAGTGTCATCTGTTTTGGCTAAAGATATTTTCCCTCTCAGTGTGTTAGTTTGCTCAAGTAGAAAGTAGTTTGCAAAGTTTTTTGAAGCCAGGTTATGACAAGTGGCCTCCATAGGAATGAGACTGGTAGGTCAGACCTGACCTCTTCTAGTGACTGTTGCCTTTTTAAAGTCCCTCGCCTTTTCTTTTAGTATGTTTTTATTGATTTTAGAGAGAGAGGATGGGAGAGGGATAGAAGGATAGAAATATCAATGAGAGAGAAACATCATTGACCGGCTGACTCCTGCATGCCCTATCCAGGCGTCCTCAAACTTTTTAAAGTGGGGGCCAGATCACGGTCCCTCAGAGAGCTGGAGGGCCAGACTATATGAACTACTAATTCCTACTGTAACACCTCGGCTGCGCTCACTGCCCAAAAAACCTGGCGGGCCGGATCAGACTCCTCTGCAGGCCGCATGTGGCCCGCGGGCCGTAGTTTGAAGACGCCTGCTACTGTGGCTCGAGTCTGAAACCCCGGGCATGTGCCCCCAACCGAGAATCAAACCAGCAACCTCTTGGTTCATGAATAATGCTCAACCACTGAGCCACCCTGGCCAGGCTCGCCTTTTGATTTTTGGCCTCCTGCTCATCCCATGGTTTCCTGAAGTCTGCAACAAACTTGGAGCCTCTTTCTTATTGTTCTCTGAGTTTTCACTTAAACTTTTTATCATGGTCTGAGTGATAATGTTGATCATTTAAAAACGAACAAGTGTTAAACATTTATTATAGAAGAAAAAAGAAACTTTGAACATTTAAAACAATCTATATTTTATTTTTACAAAGCAAAAATGCTTATACTTATAAACAGCATGAGTTATTAACTATAGTGCCATCTTCCTTCATTTTTCAGCCAGTTGTATAGACAAGATAAAAGAGGGAGCTCTTCAAGCTCTTTCTTAAAGAGTAAATAAAAATAGTTATATGTGTGGACTGAATCATTCAGGCAGTGTCGTGCAAGCTTCCATGAGGGAACTTATCGCCCACTGAGCTTCCCGGCCACCACCAGACCCACTTCCTGCCTTCAGGGCTGTGCCTGGATGGAGGCCAAGCAGGGGAGGCTCTCAGAGGCCAGCTGCAAGGCCCATTGCCTAGAGTTTCCTCCAAGTCCATCCTGAGTCAGCTCGCCTCCAGCAGAGAACAATTACTATGTTATTGTTTTTGAAAGTATAGACTGAATGTAATTTCATTGGATTTAAAAATAGGAACTCCTCTCTTCTATTACCCCCTTTTATTCCTTTCACACCCAGGTCTTCTCCTTGAAAATCAATATATATGGTTCTCTTTAGCAAAGGGACTTATTTTCCGCCCTGACTTCACCTTAGAAATGGATAAAGTCATCTCACAATTTTTTTTCATAGAAAAATCATGTGGAAAAAAGAAGCTGCTGCTATGTCAGGGATCACGGCCACAAGAGCCCACTCAGGCCAGCCCCCCGAAAAGTCCATGTCAGGACCCATTCATTGTGTTCCAGTGCTTCATCTCATTTACTGTAACATCCTGGGTCATATCATTGTATTGTGCTCCTCAAAGACTTACTCTCTCATGGAGACTTTTCTCATAAGCCATTTTCCACTCATACCCTGCCTGTCCTCTCTTCGGTCCTCCTCCGCCCTGCCCAGCCTCCATTGGTCTCCCAGTTCTCCAGCTCTGCTCCACTGCAGGCTCCTTTAGGGCTGGAAGTCTTCTGGGCGGATCTTCATCTCCACCCGTTTGAGGGAGTAGGTAGAGCCATGCCAGCCGTACCAGGTGATGCCGTCCAGGTGCTTGTTGTGCTCCCCGAGGCGGTAGAAGACTCCGTTGAGGTTGGAATCTGTGCAGCAGTTGTACCAGTATCCACCTGGCACAAGAAACAGATCGGCGCTAGTGGTCTGAGTGTGTCCTCCCCTTGGAAATGGCTGATAGGCTAGGCCACAGGGATTGTTTAGTTGTTTTTTGGCTAGTAGTTAAGCAGTTGGGGCCAGTATAAAAAGGAAATACCGAAACCAGGATATCAGCCATGCAGCTATAGTTCACACTTTCTCTTTAAGTGGGACTCTGGGCTTAATTAACCTGAACTCCCCCCACCATCCCCAAATCTTACCTTTGCGGAGCTGCGCACACTTGTCTAAGCAGTTGTCATTGTCCTTGTCCTTGGTGCTGAAGGCTGTATTGTTGTGATAGATGAGGGCGTCATTCCCCACGTTACCACTGTAGTTCCCCAGAAAGAGGCGGTAGCTGTTCAGTTCGTTGCCCAAAACGAAGTGGCTGTACTCGGCGTAGCGCACGTTGCCTTCCCAGTCCTGTCAGAGGAGGCAGAGCCAGAGAAAAACTGCAGAAACTGCAGCAGGTAACATTTCATTCATCCACCCTGACTGCTCTCTCCTGCCACAGCCATACATCTCTACTGCTGGGGATCAGAAAACAAGGGTCCCAGAGCAGACTGCTCTCCTGAGTCACCATATGCCCTGATTAGTCTCTTTCTGTATCCCCTCGCTTCCTTGTTCGGGAGAGGTAGATGTGTGTTTTTACAGTCTCCCACTTAAATATGTCATCAGAGTAACTTGAGAATGTGGTGATGCTCCATTCTGTGTCAGTAAAGTTTGCACATAGAGGACCTAGTGCCCAGGTCACTGCCTGTTGGATTACTGTGCTCTGGCCTGGGTCTGGCTTCTTCCTGTGTACCTGCAGCCTCACTTTTCTGAAAAATAGGAATTAGAACCTATTCTTTCTCAACCTGAAGGGAGCTGTCAGAATAAACATACAAGCCCACAGTGAGTAAGCATAGGAATGTCATTCCCAGAACTGTGCAGTCGTGTGTGGAGGCCTGGCCCAGTGCCAGGACCCAGGCCTTGTGCTCACCTCCATCTCCACACGGAGCCGCGTTGGCCGTCGGGAGAGCCGGTGGATGTGTTCGTTCCCCAGCCAGAAGTCCCCGCGGATGCTGCCGAAGCCCTGCTTGTACTGCTTCCAGTCCCGGTAGAAGGAGACGAGGCCACTCTTTCGTCTCTGAATGATGGTCCAGCCGCCACCGGCCATCTCCATGTCACAGAACACCTGGAGCCGAGAGAATGCTCTGGTCAGGGGCCCGCAGAGGCAGGAGCAGGAGCCAAGGGATGTGTGGATTTCCGTAGCCCCCAGGTGCACCAAAGCACAACTCTGCCCAGTAATGGCGCGCTGGAGCAGGGGTGTTTGCTGAGGAAGAGTTATCGGAACTTAGGATGGGGGCAGGGAAATGCACATGGAGTCTGAAGGGAAAACTCTAGGTAATTCTGATAGGCTGCCTCCGTGGACTCTCTTTTCCCCCAGAGAGTAGCTGCTCTAGGACATGGCAAGAGATTTTAGCTAGTTAGGTGGTGGTTCTAGAATTATCTAACCTGGTGTTTGGTTGATAATGGTTTGCAAGGGCAAAGCAGATTCCTGGACTCTCCCCTCCCCATAATTTGAGTGTTTGGATAGTTCCCTGGGGTTTACATTTTTTTATTTTTTTTTTAGTTTCCCTTTTGTTAGATTCTGACTAGCCCTGTTGTCCCTTTGAGGGCAGGGAGGACAGGGGTAGAGAGTGGGTAGTGATGGCCTCACCTCCAACTCCGGGCTGCCCAGGAAGTCATCGGGAGGAAGCTTGTACACCCCGGAGATGCGGTAGTTCTTCTGGTAGAGGGACGAGCAGTCATAGATGGCGTCTGCAAAAGGGACAGACCACAGCGGTGAGCGTGCAAACCCTGGCTCCCGGCAGTCAGGCCTTCCTGCTGCATGGAAATCGAGAGTTTAAGCACAGACTTAATTTCTACCACAGAATTTACATAAGTGTTCTTAACCAGGTAGTAGCTGCCTGTGGGAGACCAAGAGCAGCTGTGTTTTGCTTCTCTGGTGCTGGGATGAGGGCTGGGGAAGCCCACCCCCTGGATGCCTCTCAGACAGCTGGCCTAAGGTTTCCTGTGAAGTGAATTATCCTGTGGTAGGGATAGACCGTGAATCCTGGGATTACTACAGTGTGTGAGGGCCACGTAACATGCTAATGGATCCAACTTCTGGGCCAGCCAGCCCCGATTTCCAGGTCATCACGAGTATCAGGGGGTTTTGTTGTTTCTTGGTTTGTTGGGTTGGTTGGCCAGTTTCGTTGTTTTTCGGAGGTGATGGCTACTAGGGCCCTGAATAAGGGAGATAGATTTATAATCTCACCTTTCTCCTGCCTCAGTCTCACACTGCTGGACAAGGGGAGTGCCGAGGCACCCTTAGAGGTTCCCCTGCACAGTTATAGAACCAGGAAGTGAGAGCATTAGGCCAGCTTTCGTGCGGGGCTGATTTAAATGTGCCCAGGCTGCCCGAGGCTACTGCTTTATCCCAGCTTTGTCTCCCGGTTCTAAACTGTGAAGACATGTGGGAGGTTCAGCCTTCCCTGAGAGGCGGCAGAGAGGGGAACTCACTGGCCAGGAGCTCCTGCCCTCTGAGTCTCGGAGCTTCTCTTGGTGACCATTGCACTGGGCCTTGGAGAAGAGCGCACAGATGGCAGAGCACTCCGGGGAGGGGAGCCTGGAGGACCCTGTCCTTTCCTGAACTCTAAGGAGCTGCGTTTGACTCCATGAAACTCCCTGCTGGGAGGTGAGAGACCCATGTGGAGGGGCAGGGAGCGGCAGGCAGATCCCTCTGTCCTCCCTGGTCTTCTTCATGTCTGACCAAGTCAGGACTCACTTGTCTGGAAAATGGCCTAAGAGTACCTTTCTAGTCCCACACTGAGGGTCAAGATGTACATACTTAGAAAGTGATTTACACACATTGGTTTAGACACAAAATTGTTAAGCTTAATTTCATTTGAATTGAGACTAACCAGTGACTTACTCTATTCTTAGTTCTTGATTTAAGTTTATAGAATGACCAAAAAGCTTCTTTATCAGCAAGAAATGACATACCTATAGGATATGCTCCTGATAACTAATAATTTTGGAAAACCAGATTTTTCTCTAATAAATTCACCTTGACCGATCTGAGCGAAGCTAATCAGAAATGGAAAGTTATTTTGCAAGAGAAAACATTAAGTGTGTCTTATTTTTGGCCTCCCAAAAATCCAAATTTCAACATTACCTTTTCTTATTTCCTATATTACTAGTCAGAATTTTATTTTAGGTCATGGGGGAGAATAGAAATATCAGAATTGAGGAACTTTGAGGACCCTGCCCTTTCCTGAAGAAAGGAATTTTTCAAATGGTTTTGGGTCATGTCTGTACACTTCATTCTGAGCCTGTGAGAAGCCAGATTGCGGAGAGATGGTACCACATTCCATTTATGCCCATTCCATAATGTTAGAGACATGAGAGAACTTTTAGAGCAACAGATGCTCTGGTTTGGGTGTTCGTTCCTGCTTCCTTGGGGCCAAGGGTACAGCTTCCGAAGGGGACCAATGAGGAAGCCCGAGCCCTCGTTTTAAGACTTGCTGTGTGACTTTGAGCAAACCAGGTAACCTCTCTGTGCTCCAGGATGGTAATTCATGCCTTCAGTGTGCTGAAACATTGTATTAGTAAAAGACCTGTGAAGGTACTGGGTAAATTTACAGAACATTACAAATCAAAATACATATTTCATAAGCCTTTAGTAAAGAGAAAATAGAGCTGGTAGCACGTACCCAAGAAAGCGTACCTCCAAAGAACTCCCCCTCTAGACGACCAGCTTCTCTAGAAGCAGTGTGCAGACAGGAGACACTGGGCTGTTTGAGGGGAAGGTGGTGAGAAACATGAGGACGCCTGTTCCTTACCTGCCGAGGTCTGTGTGACCGTCTGCGCTGCCTGCAGCTGCATGATGTCAATCTGGTTGTTCATTTCAGAGTACTTGCCCTCGGCCTCCGTGAGCCGCGACTCCATGCGCTTGGTGTTGCTCTCCAGTTCCATCACCTGCATGACCACACTGACCCAGTCCTTCTCCTGCTTCTTGCTCAGTTCACTCAGCAGGCTGCTGAGGTTGGCGATCTGGGCCTTGAGCTCCTTCACCTCCTCGCAGCAGGCGGCCGCTTTGAGCTGCCCGGGCGTCTTGCGCTTAGGGGGCTTCTGTGGCCACACGGGGTGGCTGACAAAGACCAAGATGAAAATGCAGAGCCAGGTCACAGTCGAGAGAGGTTTTTTCAGCATCTTTCGTGGGTCCGGGTGAGGAAGGCTCTTCCTGTGGGGAAATCTGGATCTGCCCGGCTGAGGCTTGCAAAGCTGCAGCAATTAAAACCTCACACTTGCACTCTTGATGAGCTTGCCACTGTTTTCTCTTTCCTGGCTCTCTCTTAGCTGTTGTCAAAGCTTGAGCTTCTGAAAGTGCAGCTTAATTGGGTATCCTATAGCCTTCCTTCCCAAGCCTAAATGCTCCACAAACTCAGCATCTTAAATATTGTTTGCTGCCTGCACCTCCACCCCATGTGCATGGCGCTTTAGCCCCTCCCAGCTCATCTGGGAGGGTCAGGTGCCTGTTGGGTGAAGTCACCATGAACTTAGGCCAGAAAAGGGGAGGAGGGAGACAGGGCAAGTCTTTCTTTCCTTGCCGGCACCGTCTCTGCGCCCAGACAAGAGGACTGTGAGTGTGTGTTTCTGGTTCCGCCTATTAGATGATGCCCCTGCCAGCCACTGGCTCAGCTCTATCAGCAAGCAGGCAGGGAAAGAGAATTTCCAAATTCCATTCTAAAGGTTATATAACCATGGGGTGAGCGCAAGGTAGGCAAAGAGAACTGGGAATACGATTCCACTCACCCGGGAGGCCTGTTAATGTAATCCAGGCTGTTTATAGGAGGATTCAGCCTACTGAATGTGCTTCTAACAGGGCTGCTGCTTCCTTCCTCTGGTCGCCATTCAGTGTTTCACAAAACCCCCATCCCACCTGGATCTAACACCATATCACATCTTAACATTTGCAACTTGGGAAAGCTCTAGAAAGAGGAAGATGGAATAAATCTCTTAGGAAGCAAAAAAAATGATTTTATAGTTTGCACAGGATATGCTCTGTTATCTTTCTTGTTACATACTTTCTCCTTCAACAGAGCGGGCTTCTCACACTTGACTTTAGCAAGGAGATGTCAGAGGTGACAGCAAGAATGAAAACTCAGGAGTAGTCACCCACATTTCCATTGGTCTTCAGGCAGAGACTCCTTGGTCCGTGGAGAATACTTGGAAAATATGTTAAATCGTAGAGAAAATAATCCCCATCACCAAATAAAGCCTTATCTCTAGTCTCATTTTCCTCTTCCTGTGCCATATCGTTTGCAAATCTGAAATTATTCTCTATATATCCCTGAAAAAAAGGATATTGTAATTATTCATGTACTATATTTGAAGGGCACACTTCCTTTGAAAACAAATGGAAAAAACCTGGGATTTTAGCAACCTTAAGTCCTTCAAATGAGGTTTTTCACTAAGAATGTACACAAAGGTCCCTTTGTCCTTAAACAGTAACCGGTCTTTGGAACATGCTCTTGCACTTTCCATGTTATGGCGCCACTGAGGCAGTTCCTGGTCTGCTGCTGTTCGGCCTGGGTCCTTCACACACAAGCCAAGCCGACCCCTGACAGCTTTCCTTCGCTGCCATGACCCCCCCAGAGTCCTTTCCCGTCAGAGCTTCTAGCTTCTCAGAAAGTCATTCCTGCCCAGGCAGCTGGAGTTACCAAACAATTTTTTTTCTCGAAATGAAAAAGCAGTAGATGATGACGTGGATCAGGGTTTGTTGTCTCACATCCATCTCCTTTGCCTGCTAAAAGGGGAGGATGTTGCTGGCACCCTATAGCAAGTTCACTCAGCCCAAAAGAGGCTGTTTACAGTTGGCACTGTCAGCTGGTCCCGGATCTCTTCTTGCAAATATCTAGCCCAGCTGGGCTCTGCAGTCTCAGCTCCATGGAGTTCATGTCACTAACTTTTTTTTTATTTTTATAATATATTTTATTGATTTTGTACAGAGAGGAAGGGAGAGAGATAGAGAGTTAGAAACATCGATGAGAGAGAATCATCGATCAGCTGCCTCTTGCACACCCCCTACTGGGGATATGCCCGCAACCAAGGTACATGCCCTTGACCGGAATTGAACCCGGGACCTTTCAGTCCCCAAGCCGACGCTCTATCCATTGAGCCAAACCAGTTTCGGCTCATGTCACTAACTTGAATCTGACCCCAACTGCCAGCATCTGCCACAGGGTCTGCTGAACTCCAAGAGGATCTTCAGGATAGTCTGCCAGCCATTGAATGACACTGAGCTCAAACCGTGTGCCACGGAAATCCTGACCCTTGGAGCTCCGTGTAGCAGAGTGTAGGGAAACCCCATCAGAGAGGAAACCATCAGAGACCAGTGGAGCTTTATGGATTCCCAGTCAGCTTTTTGTTTGTTCTTCCCGGTACCTGTTTCCCCCACTAAACAGGAGAGTGTTGTGAGCAGATGTTCATATCTGGGCAGAAAATGAACCAGTGGTACATGTTTACAACCCACGTAGCAGTCCTTTCTAGGAAAGGAAGGAGGGGGATTGGCTCACAAGCGCTGGCTTCTAGCATGAGTGCCTACTCTCTGACATGTCTCTTCTGGGAACTTATTTCTAACATAGGGGTGTCAAACTCAATCAGAGAAGGGGCCAAAATCTAAAATCCAGCCTAAATCGCGGGCCGAATGGTTTACTGAACAGTCATAAACTGTCATTGTGATGGAAACGCAGCGGAGTGCAGTGATGACAGCGCGGTGCGGGCCACATTGCAAGGCCTGGCGGGACGGATTTGGCCCGCGGGCCTTGTGTTTGACACATGTGTTCTAACATAAGGCATACGTTGGAAACAGGCTTTCCTTATTTGAAGATTTTCTTAACTCGCCTAAGCTGCCCAAATGTCAATAACAACCCCTCACCCCCACCCCAATTTTTGAATAAAACAGCCAATGAAGAGTATTCCCCGACAAGGAGATGATCTACCCTCCAGAACATCCACAGCCCTTCGATGTCCTAAATTCTGAATTTCTGAGGGAAGGCAAAGTAAGCCCTTGTTTTGAGAACAGCTAAGCCCATAGAGAAAATATGAAGAATGTGAGACCAGAGCGTTTCCTTCTCTGAGAGGCTTTCACTGGCTTCTCTAAAAATGGAAATTAACTGGAAAACTAGGGAGAACCTGGGTTGGAGAGCTTAGCGTTTTTCCTTTCCTCCCTTTTGCTGGTGGTGAAAAGGGTCAGCTTGGTGCTCCGAAGGAAAGCTGGTTTTGACAACAAAGCTTATATTCTTAACGAGAAAAGCCAGGGAGCTTTTACTTAGCTTGGAAGTTCTCACCGACCACAGCCTGGGCTGCACAGCCTTGGCTGGCACTGAGGACTGGCAGCCTTCAGGCAGCCCGAGGGCAACCGCTGGGAAGGGCCTAGGGGAGGTCTCCCCTCCACATGGGACTGTCATGTCTCATTTTCTTGAAAATGTCCCCATTGGAGAGAAAGGCTTCTTTTCTAAGAATCCCTGCCCATGCCTACTCTTAAACCATCACTTTCAAAATTGATGAGGGATCCCTACCCAGTTTGGCTCAATGGATAGAGTGTCAACCAAAGGGTCAAGGGTTCAGTTCTCTGTCCCTCCGCCTTCCTTCCCCTCTCTCTAAAAAAATTAATGGAAAAATATCCTTGGGGACGATTAACAAACAAACAAATTGGTAAGGGAGAGAAACAGCTGCCCTCAGAATCAGACTCCCTGTTTATTGAAAAGGTACATCTTAGAAGAACTTTCCTTGCTGTTAGTGTACTTCGTGGGAATAGTTTACTTCTGAAGTCTCTTCATGAGTCACAGCTTGCCTTGCTCTATGTATTCATTTAACATCTAATCCTTTTATCACTCAGTCCTCTGTCCACCACAGAAGTTATTTCCATCTGTTCCCCAGGCCTTCTCGTTTGCCACTTCTACCAAAGAACACAGCCTGGATGTCTTAGAAACCATTTATCTCAGGCCTTCTGGGGCCAATTATTTAATCAGAGCACCTAGCAAAAGTCAATCTCAGATCTCTCCCAGGACTTTGTAGCAAACACCTGTTCCGTTAGCCAGGCCGCAAGCTGCAGCACCAGTGCAGCCTCAAGTGCCTTGCAGTCCAGTTGAAGAAGCAGACAGCTGAACTTCAGGACAGTGTGACATGCTAGGAGAGGGGACACAGATGAGGAGGATTGTCTAACCAAGATGAGCTTCTGGAAGGCCTCCCCAGGGAAGTGGGCAAAGGCGCTGTGGGCAGAGGTTCAGCCACGTGAAAGACCTTGGCTTTGGAGCTTACAGGTGGTGAGCATGCTGGAGAGTCCTGGGGTAGTTAAGGCTGGAGAGGGGGATGGGAGCCAGGCCTGAGCGACTGCATGAATCCACATGAGGAGTGTGATTGTTATTCTGGAGACAGAGGACTGTGGGAGACATCCAAGAAGCTTTTACCTCTTGCTGCTTTGTTTTCCTGAGTCTTACCAGGAAAGTGGTTTTTGTCGCTGCCAAACAAGATTTTTAACTGGAAATGGGTGGCTTAGAAATTTGAATTTCTTAGAATTGTAATGCATTCATATTAAATCCCCTGAAGGAGTCAGCTGGCTTGAGGCTTAAAGAAGTGGTATATGAAGGTCTTTAAATGCTTGGGTAAGAATCAAACAAATCTGGGTTCTAATCCCTGATTTAATTTGATAGTTATATCTAATCCCAGATGTAACTTGATGGTTCTGTGACTCGGCAAATTAAATTACATAATTTCTCTGAGTCTACCAGTGCAAAACGGAAATAAAAGTCATAACTACTTCACCTCACAGGATTATTGTGAGGATTAAGTTAAATAAAGCAAAGGATTAAAAATAACTAAGGCGCTTTTGAATAAGAAAAATAAAATTAGAGGAATTACACTACTAGAAATCAGATTTATCATAAAGCTACAGTAATTAAGGCAGGATAGTATTGGCACAAAGATAGGCTCATAGGTAAGTGGAACAGAATTAAACATCCAGAAGCAGACCCACACATATATGGACACCTGATTTAGGACAGTGCAGCACCACGGAACAGTGAGGACAGGACAGTCGTCAGCAGGCCCGGCTGGGTGAGTTAGATAGCCTCCTAGTGCTTGTGGGGGGGCTCTGACCCTCACCTCACACCACACTCAAAACTTCAAGCCCAGAGGAGACTTAAACTTTACATGTGAAAGGTAAAACTGAAGCTTCCGGAAGATAACATAGGACTTATCTTCAGCATCTTGGAATGAGCGAAGATTTCTTAAACAAGATATTAAAAACACTAACCGCAGAGGAAAACATGCAGTAAAAGTAGTCATTTGTGTGTATTACAGGACACCCCGAAGAGAGTGAAAAGGCAGTAAGGTATCTCCAGTACATTCATGTGTGTGTGCTGTACCCAAAGTATACATAGAACTCATTGATTTCCTTAAAGGAACAGGCACTCACAAAA